TATGGCACGCCAAAACTGTCTTATGTGGATATATATCATTATACACTGCATACTCGTTATTATACAGTGGATAGTCTATATTATACACTGCATACTCGTTATTATATACTGCATACTCGTTATTATACACTGCATACTCGTTATTATACACTGCATACTCGTTATTATACAGTGTATAGTCTATATTATACGTTGCTTACTTGTTAATATACAGTGCATACTCGTTGTTATACACTGCATACTCGTTATTATACAGTGCTTACTCGTTATTATACACTGCATACTCGTTATTATACGGTTCATACTCGTTATTATACACTGCATACTCGTTATTATACAGTGTATACTCGTTATTATACACTGCATACTCGTTATTATACACTGCATACTCGTTATTATACAGTGTATAGTCTATATTATACGGTGCTTACTCGTTATTATACATTGCATACTCGTTATTATACAGTGCATACACGTTATTATACAGTGCATATTCGTTATTATACACTGTATACTCGTTATTATACACTGTATACTCGTTGTTATACATTGCATACTCGTTATTACAAACTGCAAACTCGTTATTATACGGTTCATACTCGTTATTATACACAGCATACTCGTTATTATACGGTTCATACTCGTTATTATACACTGCATACTCGTTATTATACACTGCATACTCGTTATTATACAGTGTATAGTCTATATTATACGGTGCTTACTCGTTATTATACATTGCATACTCGTTATTATACAGTGCATACACGTTATTATACAGTGCATATTCGTTATTATACACTGTATACTCGTTATTATACACTGTATACTCGTTGTTATACATTGCATACTCGTTATTATACAGTGTATAGTCTATATTATACGGTGCTTACTCGTTATTATACATTGCATACTCGTTATTATACAGTGCATACACGTTATTATACAGTGCATATTCGTTATTATACACTGTATACTCGTTATTATACACTGTATACTCGTTGTTATACATTGCATACTCGTTATTACAAACTGCAAACTCGTTATTATACGGTTCATACTCGTTATTATACACAGCATACTCGTTATTATACGGTTCATACTCGTTATTATACACAGCATACTCGTTATTATACAGTGCATACACGTTATTATACGGTTCATACTCGTTATTATACACAGCATACTCGTTATTATACAGTGCATACACGTTATTATACATTGCATACTCGTTATTATACACTGCATATACTCGTTATTACAAACTGCAAACCTGTTATCATACACTGTATACTCGTTATTATACACTGCATACTCGTTATTATATACTGTATACTCGTTATTATACACTGTATACTCGTTATTATACACTGCATACTCGTTATTATACACTGCATACTCGTTATTATACACTGTATACTCGTTATTATACACAGCATACTCGTTATTATACAGTGCATACACGTTATTATACGGTTCATACTCGTTATTATACACAGCATACTCGTTATTATACAGTGCATACACGTTATTATACATTGCTTACTCGTTATTATACACTACATACTCGTTATTACAAACTGCAAACCTGTTATTATACACTGTATACTCGTTATTATACACTGCATACTCGTTATTACAAACTGCAAACCTGTTATTATACACTGCATACTCGTTATTATACACTGCATACTCGTTATTATATACTGTATACTCGTTATTATACACTGCATACTCGTTATTATATACTGCATACTCGTTATTATACACTGCTTACTCGTTACT